GGGGGGGGGGGGGCAAAGGGGGCAAACTGCCCCGGGCCCCGAGTTGCTGGGGGCCCCTGAAAAATTTTTGTAGGGCCCCAGACTTTTTTGTGTGTTAAATATTTCCGCGCAAAGGACAAGATATCTGTTTTCTTGGGCTAAGTACCGAATTTTAGCATAAAAAAATGAGATAAAGTCCCTCGAAAGCATTTGCAACGTACTCGTCCGGCAAAATTTTGTACTCCGGAAAAAATTTTTTACCCCTAAAATGGTACACTGGCCGAAAATTTTTTGGCGGGGGGTGGGGGGAGGTTGTTATCCGGAAAAAAATTTTTCCGGGAAAAATTTTTTAGATAGGGGCCCCTAAAAAAAATTTTGCCCCGGGCCCCCGCCAACCTCTGGGCGGCCCTGGGAAGAGGTGTTAAATGGCAATGTAACAAACCCTACCCCTACTCTAACCCTTAACCCTAACCGCAACCCTGACTCTAACCCTAACCCTAACCCTAACCGAATTAATAAAAAAATCCAAAAAGAAACGACTTTACAAAATCGATAGGGCGGTTTGCTGGATGGAAAATAGTGCTAACCAACTTACCAACCCAGTCAGATATGCCAAACATAATGCCAAACCGTCAAACTCGCGCCCGCGAAATTTTCGTCTAGCGACAACAAAAGTATGGATTTTCGAATATTGAATCCAAATGTTACAGTAATACAAGTGATTTTGTACCCTGCTAGCAGAGTATAGTGATTTTGTTGCAAGAAATAAGTTTATAAATAAAGTTCTGCATCGATTATCAAAGCTTGAGATTGATAATCATATAGAGAGTACATTTTAACAGTGCGATCACTGCGATGGACGAACTAAAATTATTAACGGACGAAGCAAGCAAAATACTGCTGCTTGTGCTGAACAAAGGGCTGACCGCCTCAAATCGTGTTCTAGAAATGTCAGGCTTACAAGATCAGTTCCATTCTGCTGCTGATTCGCTTCATGATTATCCTATTACTACACTTCTTATTGTCGTACATTTTATTACAGTCCATTTTAAGATAAGGACATCTGAAGGTATGTCATTTGTTTTGAAATAGCAATTTATAATATATTAATTTTTTGTATGTGTTTTGATGTTATGTACTCGGGTGAATATGTTGTAAAGCACACACAAAAAATATCATGATGATCATCGGAACACATTGGTATCGAAGGTACTAGACTTAGGGGCTGTTTATATGAGATGCGGGACAGGACGTTTGCCGGGACGGGACAATTTATACATTCAATTGGAGCCAGACATTCCAACCTCCGAGTCCTCAAAACCGGGACACTTCCCAATTTTCCCATTTTACTTAAACAAACGCCTCCCTCGAATAAACGCCTCCCTCGAATAAACGCATCCATCCAATAAACGCCTCCATCCAATAAATGCCATACCTTTCTCATTGATGTGGTGTCTATTTGGGTTAGTGTTAAAATTGGCTGAGTTGAGTTTGAATTAAAGGGGGGTGTACGTGAGTAGGGCTATACCAGGGCGCTATAAAACAATATGTTTTACAGTGCCCTGGGTATACAAATCCGCCGATCCTCCCATATTTGAAGTAAAATCCGCCGTCCGACAATGGTCTTGTTTAAATTTGGATCCGCTAAAAGCTCTGCTATGAAGTCACAATCCAGGATCCGAACTAAATTGCAAGCTAAATCCACAATCCGAGCCAAAATATTAGATAAATCCGCAATCCGCTGTCATGATGATAGACTGCTGCTTGTTGCAGGCGTGGTTTAATAAATAATTTAACAGTTCAGTATGTTCAACTGTACCAGATAAGCCTGGCCAGAAACCCTTTTGAATGTTTGTTTCGATATATTTATTGTCGCGCACAAATTTTTAAATTTTGTTCCTTATCGCTGAGGTGAAAACTTTCAACATGACTGGCTCTAAAACAATAATAATAATAATAATAATAATAATGAAAATAATGAAAATAATGAAAATAATAATGGAAACAGGATATTATATATTATATATTATTGTTAACAATTAAGTATATAAAAGATCGAGATTACTAACTAAACTACTCTAGAACTGATATAATATGTACTATAGTCATAAAAATAACTCAAGTGTTTATCTCCTGCGTAAACGCAGAGCAGTCCACTGAGAAAACAGGCAGTTAAAAGTTCATACTTGGCTGCATTAATAAAATTTAAGTATATTAGGGTTCGTCCATTTTTTGTTCCGCCGTATATAAATGTAGAAGGAAGCCCTCATGGCCACTTCCATACACTTGGAGATCATCCTTTGAAAATTAATATTAGTTCCCTTAAATAACACTTTTATATCTTCAAAGTGAGATGTTACAATTCCAAGAGAAGTTATTTCAATCGAGAAGAATTGAAAGCCTCTCCATCTGTCTTTACTATCTTGTTGTAATGTCCTGTATTTTGCTTGCTTATATTCTCTTATAAGAATAAGAATAATGAAAATAATAAGAAGAAGAATAATGAAAATAATGAAAATAATAATAAGAATGAAAATAATAATAATGAAAATAATGAAAATAATAATAATGAAAATAATAATAATAAT